TCTAATGCACAATAAAACCTATCGGTTATTACTGTTAGCAAATCAGCCGTAGAACAAGAAGATCGAAATCCATATTGATGATCAGAAAATAGGTTATGAGATTCAAGATGAGAGATTAAGTGTTTGTTAATTAAAGATTCAAAAACCTTGCTTATGATAGGAAGAAGAATAATGGGATGGTAGTTAGAGGAATCGGATCGCTCTCCATAAATTAGGGGTAACAGATGCTGCTTTCCAGCAGGCTGGAAAACAAGACTCTGATAAGCACTTGTTAAATAGTTTTGAAAGAATAGACGACAGCTCCGGAGAACACTGCTGCAAGACTATAACAGGTGTGTTGTCCGGGCCGCAAGCTGTAGAAGAGTCTAAGCAGGAAATCACTTTAGATACAGAAGCTGGAGTGATATGGATGTGGAGCAATGGATCAACCTGTTTGACGGCTATATCAGGTAGAACGCAACTAGTGGAATCAAGAGATGATATTGATGAAAAGTTCTTAGCAAACAATTCAGCTTTGTCTTTAGGTGAGGTGACAAAGTCTGAACCATACAAAAGAGGTAGAATTACAGACTTGCCCTTATTATTGATACTATTAAAGATTCTCCAGAAGTCACGAGAGCCTAATTTTTGTGATGAAATACGAGATTTCGTGATCTGAGAAAAGCGGGCTTTGGCGTTAGACAAAACCTTTTTACAATGGTTTTTAGCAGTAATAAACAGACGTCTGTTTTCTGGAGAATTGTTTTGCTGATAGATATGGAAGTAATGGTTTTGATTGGCAATTGCAGCAGTACAATGCGAGGAAAACCATGGAGAAGAGTGAGGCTTAATCTGGAATCGTCGAGAGGGAATAAAAGATTCCATGCCAGCCTGAATTCACGAAGTTGTGTAAGAAGCACATTTGTCAACAGGAAGCCATCACAAAGAAAGTCACGGAAAGAGTCCCAGTCAGCTTTAAGGTAGTTGTAAGATGTACGATGATAGGGGGATTCTGATGATAAAGAAGAATGAGATAATAGTTTTAAAGAGACCAAACCATGATCGGATGCACCTTAGGGTGAGTGTGGAGAAACTTAGCACTGACTAGGATCAGAAACAAGACATAAGTCGAGTAGAGAATGTTAATAATTCGGGTTATCTGGAAAGCGATTTGGAAAATTGACTATTTGAGTTAGGGATTGAGAAAGGCAAAAGTTGTGGGTCTTAATGCCTGCAGAGTCACTGACACTAGAGCCAAGCCATTCAGTGTGATGAACATTGAAGTCACCGACAACAACAATATTGACTGATGGATAAAGAGAGAGGGCTTGGTCAATATGATCAGAAATAACATCAAGAAAAGTGTAGTCTTGAGATGAAGGAGAGCAATATAGAGCAAAGAGAAAGGTGATAGAGTGAAGTGGTGCTAAACGAAAGTACATAAAAGAGTAGTCTGTGGATTCAAACCTAATTTCTCGACAAATGGGTGAATTCTTACAAATATAAATGCCCAGGCCAAGCATGTGACTATTGGAGTCTTTACGAATTAAAGGAAGATAACCATCAACACTAAGATCACAAGATGAGACAGCTGAACTCAAATTAGTCTCACAAAGAGCAAGTAGGTCTGGTGAGCTTTGCAAGAAATTAGACTCAACAGAAGAAAAGTTACTTCGAAGACCACGAATATTAGTGAATGATGTCGTTCGAAGAAAAGTTACTTCGAAGACCACGAATATTAGATGATGATGTCAAAAAACCACAGTCATCACCAAGTTCGCTAAACCACGAATGGTTTAGCGAACTTGGTGATGACTGTGTTTTTTTGTTTTTTATAGTTTTTGTTACTTTATTCATTTTTAAATTTGTTAAAGAACTTGACTCGAAACATAGATAGCACTTAGTACACTGTTTTATAGCCCAAGCAATTGCCTCATTTCTATTTATAAACCCTGAGCCGTAACAAAGGGCTCTAATGTGGCCTTGGCAATGCACACAAAAAGTGCAAACAGAGACACCGTCCATGCGCAACATGGCACTGTTAGTACTTTGATATTTTTCAGCTGTTGATGAAATCAGCCTCACTGAGAGCTACCACAGAGTTCGGGAAACCTGACTACCAGCCGGCCTCAGAACCATAAAACTGATTTTTAAAGCTGTACCCTCATTTGGAGATAATAGAATGAGTTGTCTAGTCATAAAAACAGAGACACAAGCAAAACCCATGCATCGAGTCAAGAAGATCCAGCGTTTAACATTCTAAACTGGAAACAATGTATTAAAAATACATCTGCGTCAGCCTAATAGATGAAGAAGGGGTGCGAGGCTGGTCAACAGATAGAATCTGTTTACCCCTTAAGTCTTTGCCTAGGAGGCCTTCTACAAGACAGCAGCCGGATGCATGTAAAATCTGCCCAAGATGAGTATTTTTATCGAGACACCATCTCTAGCCTTTACTCAACCAAGAGCCCCAAGGCAGGGGTTGTTTTATGTCAGAGTTTGCCTAAAAAATTCTTTGCCTAAAAAGGCGTATCCTACAAGGCAGCAGGACATGAAGCAAATTGTACTGGGTTGCATGTTACCAGTAGCAGGAATTGTACGAAATCTTCCGGTTAATAACTTTAATATAACCTTTCTTGATGTTATGGAAGATATGAATTTTTGTGAATCAAGCTTTAAAGCTTTCCAGACAAATAAAAATATAATTTAGAGACCCATTCAGATCCAGATGTTAGTTTTTTTTAACACTGATGAAATAAATTAGCAACATATGCCCTTTATATTATAATTCCGATATTTCTAATCTTTCTGCTGATATAGATATCAATGAGTTCTCTATTTTTAAATTTATCAAAAAATTTTGAAAAATTTAAAGATTTTTTATATAGTGTTGAAATTAATTTTAAAATTATTTGCCTCAAAGAGATCTGCTATCAAAATAAATAAGTTAATAAAAATTCAAATTTTCAATTACAAAACTCTATATTTGTTCATCAAGTCAGAAATTCTGAGACAATAGGTGGAGGAGTATGTATTTTGATCCACAATTCTTTAAATTTTAAACTGGTAACCGAATTTGGTGTAATTAGTAATAATTCGCATTAATGGTAATAATTAATGATTCGCAATCATTAACGATCGAAATAATAAAAAAAATCACTAAAAACATCATTGTACATGTTGTTTACAGACCGCCATCTGGCAATAACAATTTTTTTGAAAAACACTTAATTTTAAATTAAAATTAAGTGTTTTTTACAACAACAATAAATTTAATTTAAAACAAAATTTTATGTGGCAAACATACCTTTTTTGTGGGGGATTTTAGTTATAACGTGCTTGATTACGACACAAATAAAAATGTTAAAAATTTTGTGAACTTATTTCAAAATAGGTTCATTCCAACAATAAATAAACCAACACGAATTAGGGGAAAGGCGCCTATGATGGCATACTTAACTTTGAAGCTTCATTATTCAGTATCCTGAAGACCAATAATAAAAGTTTTGATATGGATGCATTCCTTGTTAAATGTAGAACAACAATAACCCTCGAAATTTTTATCAGTTTTGTTATTTTTATAAATTATTCCTATTTAAAAAAAAAGCACAAGTATGTCATCATAGGCAACTACTGCTCCTTTGGTGACATAGGGGAGGATGCGGCTGGTTAGGATCAAGTATAACTTAATGATTTCCTTTAACGTTAGAGTATTCCATCAGAAAAGCCAGAAATTACTCGGAACCATTCTAATTTACCATTTCATGCTACACAGCAGCATTGTAAAGTTTTGCGCATGCGCATAGGATTTATTGCGTTTTATGACCAAAAAAAAACTTTTGGAGCATCGCTTTCTTTTTACTTTTCTTAAAAATAAGTTTTTCTTGTTAAAAAAAAAAAGGTTTTCCTAACTCGTTAATATAGCAACACACCCAACTAGTCAGTATGCCATCTTTGGAAGAAGTCATCATTTTCATTAAAACCAGCTGTGTCTGTCTTGTTCAAAAGATAAAATTAAAGTAAGTATTCCACTAAATGCACAAAACTTGGATATAAAACGCATGAAAATTGCCTTTCTGCACAGTTAAAAATAAAATCACAACCTTAAATATACGAAGTGAATAAAACTACAGCAGCACTTCCCAAAATCAATTTTTCTTAATTATAAAAACAATATTTATGCAAAAGAGACTGATTTTTACTAAAACTAATGTAAAGTCAGTATAGTCATGTTGGTCTAATCACTTTTCACCAAAACCAAATTTTATGGAAATATGACCGGTATGCCATCATAGGCGCTATACCATAATAGGCGCCTTTCCCCTACTACGAATAGCGCAACCTCAATTGATCAAATAATAATTAATGAATATACAAAAAACAAAATAAAAACTGCAATAATAATATCTGATATATCGGATTGTTTTTCAATATTTATAATCGCACATAAAGTTGCCAAACACACCCCTCAAAATAAAATAATTACAAATCGAATATATAATGACATTTCTATGGAACCTTTTAATAATTGATAATAATAATTTAATAATCTGAAAACTTGGACAATATTTTACAAATTTAAACCACAGATACTGCTAAGTTTTTTTCAGACATTCAAAAAACACTATGATAAAGCTCTCCCGGTGGTAACAAAAATTATTAAAATTAAAACATTTATAAACCCTTAGATTACACCAGAAATAATAAATTATCAAAAAAAAAACGATTTGCATTTTATATAAACTTTTTTGAAACATTTTGATTTTTTCTCTCATTTTTAATTTTTAATTTTAGTTACAACGTATTTATATAAATGACTAGAAAAAACAAGGGACTTGGCGATAAGGCAAAAAAAAAAAAAATATATATATATATATATATATATATTATATATATATATATATATATATATATATATATATATATATATATATATATATATATATATATATATATATATATATATATATATATAAAATGCAATATAACTTATAGTATAATGGCGTGTTAAAGATGGCGTCTTAGTTGAGCACGTGTCTTAAAATCTATATATTCTATGACATATTTCGTTCATTGTGAATTGTATTTTAAAAAATATGGCTGCAACAGTATCAGAAATAAAGAAAATGCTGACTCAAATGTTTAATGAATACAAAAAAGAAATTGAAAAAATACTAAAACAACAAGAAAAAAACTTTGTAGACATTTTGAGTTCTAATTTGAAAATAATAAAAGATCGACTGGGACTGATTGAAAACAAATCTGCTGATAACGTAAACAAAATAAACAAACTAGAAAAAGAATTAAATGAGTTAAAGGAAAGTCTAAACTTTCACGAACATTTAATTGAACAGAAAGTCAAAACGGTAAGTAACAACTTAGAGAAAGAAAGCTCAATACAAAATATTAATGAAAAAAATAGAATTTTAGAAGATCGCTCAAGACAAAATAATCTTAGAATTGAAGGGATTACGGAAAGTGTTAACGAAACCTGGGAGGAGACCGAAGATAACGTTTTAAAATTATTTTCAAAAAATTTGAAAGTGAATGAAGTAGAGATCGAACGAGCCCATCGCACAGGCTATAAAAAAGACGGAAAAACAAGAACTTTAATTCTAAAATTATTAAGATTCAAAGACAAAGCAAAAATCCTGAAAGAAGCCCACCGACTCAAAGGACTAAACATTTATATAAACGAAGATTACTCTCGAGAGACTTCAATTATAAGAAAGAAGCTATTTTCAGAGGCGAAGCTAAGGAGAGAAAACGGAGAGAACGTTGCTGTAAGGTATGACAAAATTATTAAATTAAAAAGTAATTATACCAAGAAAGATCTAAGTAAGTAAAAATATTAATTTTCGTTTTCAAAAATATACTTTGAATTTTTTTTTTTTTTTTTTTCTAATTATACAAATGGCTGACAAAACAAATAAAACAAAAACTTTTAAATTTTTTGATAAAAATAATTTTCTGCTTCTGAATAAAAATAAAGATCCTGATATAAATTTTTTTAATGAAATTGAAATTGTCTCTTGTTACTTTAATGTTGAGTAAGTAACTTGTTATTTTAACTCAACACAACCATTATTTTCGACATTAACCCTAAACATTAGAAGTCTTAAAAAAAACTTTAAAAATCTTAAAGCTATGTTACGAAACATAAACCATGAATTTAAGGTAATATGTCTTTTAGAAACTTGGTGTTAAATTGAAGATTCCGTTAACTCGAATTTTCAATTACCAGGATACAAATCAATTCATCAAACCCGAATTGGTGGCAGCGGAGGCGGAATATGTTTTTTAATTCATAACTCAATTTATTTTCAAATATCAGAAAATCTTAGTAACAATAATGCGGAATGTGAGTCGTTAACTTTAGAACTACTGATCCATAACAAAAAAAATGTTTAATTAACCGCTATGTTTGGACCACCTAGCGGAAATATAACAACGTTTGAAAACTATTTAGAACAGTATTTAGTAAGCGTTAGAAATAAGCAAGTATACTTAATGGGGGATTTTAATATAAACCTTTTAAACGTAAAAAATGATAATAAAGTCGAACGCTTTCTAAATCTTCTCTATCAGTACAATATTTTACCATTAATTAATAAACCAACTCGCATAACTCTTCAAACTGAAACTCTCATAGACAATATTTTTACTAATAATTTCTCGAAATATCACACTCAAAGCGGAATCATAAGAACTGATATAAGTGATCATTTCCCAATATTTTTCACATCAAATTCAATATACAAAGAAAAATCAATCAAGGAATCAACCAAATTAATAAGCGTTACAAAAAGAAAAATAGATAAAAATACCATTGAAACGCTTCGTAACTATCTATCACTACTAGATTGGGATCAACTCAACAACTACAAAGACGCAAATAACGCTCATGAATATTTTAACTTAGAGTTCAGTGATGCGTATGAAAAAGCTTTTCCTAAGCAAGAAAAAATAATTAAACTTAAAAGCTTACAAAGTCCATGGATTTCCAAAGGTCTTATCAAATCTTTAAAAAAAAAACAAAGACTCTATAAAAAATACTTAAAAAAAAAACTTACAAAAATGAAAACAAATACAAAAATTATAAAAGCCTATTTGAAAAAATAAAAAAACAAGCAAAAAAAAATTATTATTTTAATTTATTGCAAAGCAATATTGGAATATATCAAAAAAACATGGGATGTTATAAATGAAATAATAGGAAAAAAAAAGATTGACTCTGGTAATACACTGCCTAAACGTTTAAATACTAATGATAAAAACATATTTATCAGTGGTAAAAAAAGAAATTGCTGAAAGCTTTAACAATTATTTTATAAACATTGGAAAGACGTTAGCAAATAAAATAACTCCAAGTAAAAAACTTTTTAAATCATACTTAAAAAAAGTAGACTTCACAATGGATGAGTATGACTTATCTCCTGATGAGCTTTGGAATGCTTTTGAAACCATACAGTCCAGAAAAAGTCCTGGTCTTGATGACATAGACTCTAAAGCTGTTAAAAATGTTTATGACGTTATTGAGTATCCCCTAATGTATATTTTTAATCTCTTATTAAAAAATGGAGTTTTTCCTGACCGCCTAAAATAAACACGCGTAGTTCCAGTATTTAAAAGCGGAGATGACTCGACTTTATCTAACTATAGACCCATCCCCATCCCAGTGGGCATTTGACGTCCTAGGACGTCCAAAGACGAACAAATCTGGTCTAAATTTGCGGGACCTAATTAGACGTCCTTGGAGGTCCAAATTAGTCAAACTTTGAAAATTATTTGAAAACCTTAAAAGGATTGGTACGTGGTAAACAGAATCCGTTAATAGAAATAGTTAAAAGGCTTCATGAATTAAAAGATACTTACTCTGAGAAAACAATTACTATTACCAAGTTTAATGGACCTACTAACTCTTGGTTTATTACTGAAGATTGTATATGCTTTGTGAATAACATTTTGCCTGATGGTAGATTAGTATGCAAGATGTACAAAAAGAGTGAACTAGATAATTTTTTTAAAGATTTTGTTTCTTCTAAGACTCTTCAAATATTTCTGATAAGAAAAGATACACTTTGGTCAGATCAAATAACTTGTGCAAATATAAGATGGAGAAAATGTGTTTGTTTAGCACATGGAAATGATCAAGTTATCATACCATTACTAAATTGTGTAAAATTGGGATGAAAAAAAAAACTTAATAACTTTATTTATATTAAACTTTTATTTATATTAAAATTTCCTGTTTCTGAAACTCTTTTATGAATAAATTTATTTAAATAGATTAAAGATTTAAAGAATAGATTTATTTAAATATACTGACTTTGGTTTTATTATTAGTCTGTTTAAAAAATTTAGAAAATCTGAATTTAAATATACAATTATATGTAAACAATTAAATGTAAATAATAAAAATATGTTTAAGACTAATGTGGTACGTACTTTTGAATTGTTCATTAAGTCTTTTTTTTATTCTCAGGCTTTTTAGTACTGTTGTTATAACTGAAAAAGGTCTACCAACCAAAACAGTGGTTCCTTCTCATTGGGTTAGTTTAGATAAATGTATTGTTTATTTCCCACCCAAAGGATACAAAACTCTTGGTACTTATATTTATGAGTGGGCTGTTCCAGAACCAGGCTGGAAAGAGTATGAGTTTATTGAATTTATTTTGGAAGCTGGAACATTGGAGACATGCAACCAGATGCTTCAATTTCAAACAGAAGATGAATCAGAAAATCACGGTTTATATTTTTTATTATTTATGTAATTTCTCTTGATAAAAAAATTATTATGAGTGTATAAATAATTTTTTTGTATTAACCATAAGGAAAATCAAAAGAAGTTTGAGCACCCACTCCAGAGCTAGACTTCATTTTTAATTCTAATGAACCTGTGAACAGTGGATTTTCTCAAAAGCTGAGTGATAGATATTCTAATACAGGTGACAAAGTTTTATGTAAAGGTATTCCAGTAAAACTATTTGTATGATTGGTATTTATTTCAACTTTTTTATTTCTTTGCATTAGAAAAACTGAAAGCAGCACAAGCTCCAAGTCTGTTGCCAGATTTTCCACCTGATTTTGTTAACAAAAATGTTGGAAAACCTTTCGGGAAATCAAAAGAAGATCGAGCACCTAGCCCAGAGCTAGACTTAATTTTTAATTCTAATGAACCTATGAGCAGTGGATTTACTCATAAGCTGAGCAATAAATGTTCAAATACAGGTGAAAAAGTTATATTTAAATATATTTCAAAAAAATTATATATTTTTTAAAAAACTATATTTTCAAAAAAAAAAAAAGTCATTTAACTATATTTTCAACTTTTAACAGATTTTCAAACAGGTAATTTAAAAAGGAAACATTCAAATATAGGCGATGGTGGAGTTTCTTTTAAGGAAATGTCAAACAAGCGTGAGTACTTTTGTATTTACTTGAATATATTTATCAATGTTGTTTTTCATTTATGAAAACTCTTTTTTTTTTGTTTTTTTTTTTTGTATTGTATTGATGATTACATTTTTAATTATTTAGTTTCACAATTGAGAATTTATTGTTATATAATTAAATGTAATTAAATCTAATTTAAAAGTTGCAATTAATAATAAATATTTTGTCAATATTTAAAAATCACAAATAAAATATTTAATTTAACTTCAGAATTTCAATATGCAATTTTCATGGAACTAACAAGTCAATTTAATCAAATTAAGGAGAATCAAAAGAAAATCCTTGATCGTCTTGAGCTACTTGAAAATAATGATGCGGGACCCAGTGGGTTTGCAACTGCCGATATTTTAACAGAACCAATAGATACAATGGAAAGGTTTGATGAGGAAGAAAATGTATTAAACTCCAGTAAAGCAGCTAGGTTTCGAAAGGTAGTTTGTCATACTTTTTTCACCTTATAGAAAAGTAAATTTAATCAACAGTTTTAAATGTTATTTTTTAAAACACAACTCAAAACTAAAAATGCTAATTTTTTATTTTTTTTATTTTTTTATTTTTTTTTTAATTAGGAGTTGACAATTTTATTTACAATGTTATTTTTCCTTAAATAGACACAAGATTGAGATGAGTTTGCATCGGATTTTTTTTTAACGTTTTTATTGTCTCTAGATTACACAAATAAAGGGCGTTGGTGGTTCAACGCCACGTCGACTTGTTAAAAATGTGTTAGACAGCATAATGACACAATCTTTACAAAGCTGCTTCAGTAAAGATGGAATAAAAGGAAAACGAAAATTTGTGGCCACAACTTTATACAAATGTTTAAAAAGTAAGTTAGTTGACATACCTAATTACATTGTAATTAACTTGAGGTTTTTATTAAGTTTGTTATGAAGAACAAAAAAGTCATAATAACATTTAAATATAAATGAAAAATAGTTCTAAATTTTGCTTGTTTTAGAAGCGCTCATCTCAGAAAAAGATGGTTTTGACGTGGGCAATATTGAGGCACTTGTTGGCGACTTGTTAAAACGTGCAATGCCGAAATTGCAAAAAGAAGGAATTAAATAATATAAAAATTCTTCAGTTTTTTTTAATTATAGCATGTATTTTAACATTTAAATAATTAAATAAATTTTTAACTTGAAAAAAGAAATTATTGCTAGTTTTCCGTGCCATGTCTAAATACGACGACCATAGGTTTAATAGGATATCAATTTTGGACAAATATAGACGTCCGCTAGGCGTCTTAATTCGTCCAAAAAATGTCTAAAAAAGACGTCATTGGACGTCCGTTATGGACGGACAAAAGGTGTTTCATTTGGACGTCTACCGGACGTCCATTAGACGTCCAAAATGGACGTCCTAGGTCCAATCTGGACGTCGTTGGACGTCCAAATGCCCACTGGGATACTCCCGTGCTTTTCAAAAATATTGGAGCGCATAATGTATAATAGACTCTTTACATACCTTCAAAATCATAACATCCTCTACAATGACCAATACGGATTTAAAAAAAGCCATTCAACTGAACATGCTGTAATAAAATTAGTTAACGAAATTTTAAGTGGCTTTGACAAAAACAAACACACCCTTGGAGTATTTATCGACCTTTCAAAGGCTTTTGATACAGTGGATCACGAAATCCTTCTATACAAACTTCATAATTATGGTATACAAAATAAAAGTTTAAAATGGTTGAGTTGCTATCTAAAAAACGGTAAACAAGCCTTATTTTTCAATAAAACATACACTCCCTTTGAAATCATCACATGTGGTGTTCCCCAGAGGGTCTATTCTAGGACCTCTGCTTTTCCTAATCTATATAAATGACATATTTTTATCTTCCAGTATATTGAACTTCATTCTTTTTGCAGATGACATTCATGCTTTCTATACCCACTCTAACATTACTACACTTTTTAATACAGTAAATCAGGAACTTGAAGAGTTGAGCGATTGGTTTAAAGCAAACAAACTTTATGTCAACATTGAGAAAAGTAATTATATCTTTTTCACAAAATCTTACAATTCAGACAAACTACCATTAAAACTTCCAGATATTCTATTACACAAAGTTAGACTAAATCGAGCGTTCTCAGTTAAATTTTTCGGGGTATTATTAGATGAAAATAAGTAATTATATCTTTTTCACAAAACTTTACAATTCAGACAAACTACCATTAAAACTTCCAGATATTCTATTAGACAAAGTTAGACTAAATCGAGCGTTCTCAGTTAAATTTCTCGGGGTATTATTAGATGAACATATTAACTGGAAAGACCACAATAATATATTAAAAAACAAAATATCTAAAAACATTGGAATTATGCATAAAACCAGATATATTTTAAATAATGCATGCCTTAAAAGTTTTTATTTTGCATATATACATAGCTATATTAACTACTTCAATATTGCCTGGGCTAGTACCTACCAATCAAAACTAGATTTAATATATAAAAAACAAAAACAAGCGTGTCGTATACTAACAAACGCAAATAAAAATGCCAATTCTAGACATTTAATGAGGGAACTGTAAGTTTTTAATATCTACGAACAAAATATATATTGCATACTTCAGTTCATGTTTAAACTCAAAAATGATCTGGTCCCTGAAGTCTTTCATAACTATTTTTACCTTATTAATCACAAATATCAAACAAAATACTCTATCAAGAACCTCTATATTCCGAAAACCTCTTTAAGACAATCTAAATTCTCTATAATCAGCAGAGGACCCCAATTGTGGAACTCATTTCTAACAAACAAAATAAAAACTTTAAACTCATTCCAACATTTTAAATGCGTTGTAAAGCAACAGCTACTAGACCTCAACATTAATGAAACAATCTCATATTTTTAAAATTTTTCCTTTTTCAATTTAAATTTTTTTTTCCTTCACTTTTTCTTGAAATTCTTGATATTACTTTTTCTTGATATTACTTGCTTGGTTATTTAATGAAGTTCATTATAAAAAAAAAAAAAAAAAAAAAAAAAAAAAAAATCACACGTATTATAAATATTTTATTATATTTGTATTTAGTTTATATTTTATTATATTTTTTCAACGACAAAAATGGGGCAAGATGATAAGACTATTGTCTTCTACTTGCTCCAGTCATATATTTCACGGTAAAATGTTGAACAAATTTATATTAATAATGACGAAATATATATATATATATATATATATATATATATATATATATATATATATATATATATATATATATATATATATATATATATATATATATATATATATATATATATATATATATATATTAAAACACCGAGCTTGTAAATAATTGTACGGCTAAATAATGAGAAAAATGATTTCAAACAACTAATTAGCTTAAGGCAACATTATATCGAAAGACAAAATTTATTACGGATATTTTACTCATTTTAAAAATATGACCCGAATATAGATATCGGGGGCCCCGATGTCTATTTCTAAAATATTACACCCCCCTAAGTAATTTATAAAGTATTTTAAACAATTAGTATTTGGTATATAAAATATAACATCCACCACTTGTTATTTCTGTATATGTCACAAAAAGAAACTAGAATTCTTACTTAAAATATCACATCCCCCCTATGCAGGCTTATAAAATATTGCAAACGATTATTATTTTTATTACCTAAAGTATTATATCCCTCATGTGTAATCTTTTTCTATACTATTGTCTCATAATACATTACGATCAAAATTTTATAAATAAGAATTTAAAATATATTACCATTTTATGCTAACTTCATTTATAGTATATTAGTAGAAAAACGTTTTATTTTATTTTTTTTTATTTTTATTTTTTTACATTTATTTTGCTGTTTAACAAATATAATCAACACATATATATACAAGAAAGAAAGAAATATGTCCGTATAACAAAGACAGTAAAATCTTGTCAACAAGCACCGTTTTTGTATATACAGTATATAAAATAAACTATACTTTTTTACAATGATCTTTATAAAATAAAGAGTTAAACAGACAGGGACTCAAAGAAGATGAAGATGACAAAACGTCATCGCAATCTTTTCATAGAGCCCCCTATATACATTTTCATTAGGTTATGGATATATTTTTATGAATCTTGTTGCGTTTTTATAATATTGTTTATAACTGAATGTTTGGGACACTTCTAAGTGCAATGACTCGAAAGCGCGTTCTCGTTTTCAATTTTTCTATGGGGTATGTAATATTTTAGGCGGATGTGCAATCCCCGCATTAATTTTTAAATTGTTGTTTTGAATTTTATTATAAAATTCAAAACATGTAAAATTAAAAAAATAGTGTAGCAATAAGTTTTGTATTGCTATGGCAATACAAAAAATAGTGTAGCAAGTAGCATAGTATTGCTATGGCAATACAAAACTTATTGCTACACTATTTTTTTAATTTTACATCTTTTGAATTTTATAATAAAATTCAAAACAACAATTTAAAAATTAATGCGGGGATTGCACATCCGCCTAAAATATTACATACCCCATAGAATAATTGAAAACGAGAACGCGCTTTCGAGTCATTGCACTTAGAAGTGTCCCAAACATTCAATTATAAACAATATTATAAAAACGCAACAAGAATATTTAAAGGAATGTTTACTGTAGGATTTTGTATTATATGTTTACACACTCAGTGCACCTTTTCAAAATTTACTTGTGAGTTGACAGCTAATTGCACCGCAAAGAAAAACCATTTATTAAATATTTGAGGTAGCCTTTTGTTTATGCAGCTGTGAATAAGTAAACAATTTTCAATTTTGATTATATATTGTAATTTTAAAATTTGTAGTTCATTAAAGATGTGAATGTATAGGTACTTTTTGGTAGAAATTCAATAATCCTGACTGCTTTTTTCTGCATGATAAAAAGGTGATTCACTTATGTTTTGATTCCATGATAGAAGACAATATGCGATGTGAGGGTGAAATAAAGTATAGCAAATAAATTTTAAAGTTTTTTGTTGTATGAAATGTCTTAGCATTGATAAAATGGCAAGAGATCTAATCAACTTATTAGAGATATCATTATAAGTCCAGGATAAGCTATTGTCTAGCTTTATACCCAAGAAGTTTACAAATTTTTTGCACCAAAGTTTTTCCCATTTAACTTAATTTTGAGCTGCTGGTCTAATTTTTTGTGACAACTTTTAAATATTATTAAATCAGTTTTTATAGAATTTTTTTTTTTTTTTTAGTAATTCACTTCATCAAGGCCAACAAAAATTTGCCTATAGTTTGTCATTAATAGTTTTAAATCAGTTTTAAGAATAGATATAACTTAGTTGTTAGGTAGTTTTTAAGTTTTCTGGGAAAATACAACTTGACAAAAAGGTATTAGAAATGTTAGAAAAAATTCTTGAAAGTTTTTAATAGTTTTAAAATTTTAAACGATTGCTAAACATATTTATTTTAATGACATTAAATTTAGAGTAGTTAGTTTAGCAGCAAACTTAAGTTTGTTTAAAAAAAGTTTGTTAAATAAATTTTTATTTAACAAACTTTTTTTGAAGTCTTTATATGTATACTAATTTTTTTTATTTTTTATTTTATTTGCATTCACTCCCAACAAGGCTGCAAGCAGCCACTATTAAGTTGGGAGTTACTAGGAAAAAAAAAGAACAGAGTTATAGAGCAACGAAACGGTTGACAGAAGACTTGAAAAGTTGAAGGTTGTATGAGTCAGGAAAACATGAAGATGGGAGAGAGTTCCAAAGGATTGAAGTGCGGGGAAATAAACTAGATGAATAAAAGTTTTTAGAGCATGCAGGGACAGATACAGTAAACGAATGAGACTTAGCTGAATGACGAGTAAAACGAGAATGAATTTTAGTTGATGGAACTAGAGATGATAACTCCTTTGAGCAGTGACCATGATAGTATTTGTAGAAAAGAGAAAGAGATGCAACTTTACGACGATGGGAAAGAGGTTCAAGCTTAGCAGATAGTTCAGGTCCAACAACATTTACAATGCGTTTTTGGACCTTGTCAAGAAGAGAAAGTGAATCGTTAGAAGAACCAGCCCAAATATGACAACAGTATTCCATACAGGAGCGAATTAGAGATTTGTAGAGGTAGAGAATGGAATCAGAAGTAAGGAAATGGCGAGCACGATAAAGAGAAGCAACCTTAGC